AAGCTGAACAGTGATGAGCCATTCATGCTGGCCTGTGCTCCGAGTACTGGCAGAAAGGACTGGTATTTGCCCTCTGCCCAGATCCAGACATCTCCGTGGCGGGCGTCTGAGTCAGCGTCTGGATGACGCTAGCAGGACGCAGCCCATGTGGCCTCTCTCCCAGGCTTCATGCGGCAGAGATTCTGCCTCTGGGGATGGCCCTGGCTGTGAGTCCAGCAGCAGAACAGCCCCAGCCCTGATAGAAAGCAGACCGGAGCTACCGAGCAATTCCTTTGGATTCTAGACTCAAATGAACACAAAATTTGAGTTGAAACCACCTCCCCACCCCCCCGTCCCCTACCTACAGGAAAGTGATTAGAAATTTTAAAATGTGGCAGCAAAAGATGAAAAATGCTTAGCAGGAAGCAGGCTCATGAAGACAGTCTTGTAAGTTTTATTCTTTAAAGTTGTCTGGACAATTTCACCATAGGTTGAATTACATTGAAGTCCCAACTGCTAGCATGGTAGGTTGTGACTGTATTTGGAAATAAGACCAGTATTGATGGAACAAGTTAAGGTGAAATCATGAGGTAGGCCCTAATCCCTTAAGGGATAGGAGCGAAGGGCTAGGTGTAGCCCCGAAAAGTACTGCCTCAAACAGAGGCTGCCTCAAATGCCTTGCTGCTGGTTAAACCATACAAGGCACTCCCTGGCCACAGCTTCGGCTGAAACAGGCTTGGGCCATGGGTCTACCCCAGACAACTCCACCCCATGTCCTCTCTGGATGAGCCCACCCCTCTGCAGCACTCCTCAGTCAGTCCTATGAGGGGTCCCTCCTCTACTCATGACCAAACAGAAAGTCTGACATGATGCATGTGTGAGCCTGAATGTTTTCCTTATAAGCAGCCTCCCTGTACCTTGTGTAGGTTCAACCCACAGATTGTTCCCCCTTATGCTGCATCATAAAGCCTAAGCAAGGGCTGAATATGTTTGGGTGATGTATTCTTGCCTGCTTGTAATTTTTGTCTCCAGTAGAACATGCGGAGCTAGCATACTAGGAGATGATAACACAAAGGCTGCTTGAGACAAAGCTTCCAATAATCAGGGCTGGTAACACAGAAGCCAGGGGGCAGCACAGAACAATGAAGAATTATGGGTAACAACAGAAGAGCCCCTACGATTCTGGTTTCCAGTGGCAAGTAGGGCTTCTACCACACACAAAAAAATCTACTGGTTGCTGGCATTTAAAGGCTAGAGCTGTTAACCCTAAAAGAGCTACACTTTGCCAATTCATGGTTTCTATATAAGTTAAGCAAGACTCACCAATGGATTGGCAAGCTCTTGGAACCCAGTATGGAGGTGGCCCCCTTGAAAGGAACCTGAAGAAACAAGCGGATAATGGTGATCTTATGGGCAAACACAAGCATAAGATCCTGTTAAATTTCCATTCCAACATATACCTTGGAACTCATACTAGCCAGCAAAAGCATAACTAATATTCTATCTAAAGGGTGGTAATCTGGACTCAAGCATATGTACAGGGAATTGTCTGGTTCTTTTCTTTCCGGAGTAAAGATATGAGTGAGTTACATTTTTTTTTTTTTTTGAGGAATGTTTAAAGAAGACAGGGTAGCGTTCAGTGTAAGCACAGGATTAATGAAGTACTGCCGCCAGCAGCCTCAGTGGCTCCTGTGGCACCGTGGGACACTGACCAATTTTCTTCTTTCCTCTTAACATAGAAACACTTGTCCTTTCAGGGAAAATCAGTCCCAAGAAGTAGGGTCATTACCAGTTCTGTTTGCAAAGGAATACAGGCAAAGGTCATTCCTGTCACCCTGGTGCTCTGAGACTCTGGAATTCACTTCTGACAGCCAAATCCATGCGCTCTTGAAGGGTCCAGACAGAGGATGAACACAGTGGCAGCCAATAGTGGGGATTCCACTGTGGGACATCTGTGGCATCTGGACTCGGAATGGCCAGTGGGCAGGTGAGATGGGATTTTGGTGACTTTCCCACATCCCTAGCTTCCAACAGTCCCCCTGAAATCGGCTGTGCCCCCCCCAACTTCCAGTAATGGTGTCATGGCTCAAGGCCACCTTCACTGTCACCTCATACACAGAGTAAATCACCACAACTATATTATTAGAATAATTTCCTTTTTATGGTAGTTCATTCCACAACTAATATTATATAACTTTGTTTAGACCATAGATATCTTTTGCAAGATTTCCTACCATAAAAACGAGAAGAAAGGGATTGGAAACTCTGTCTTATCATAGACAGGGCTAGAGTTTACCTAGCTGTCCGTGGCAGTGGCTTCCACCTCCCCAAACCAGGGGCTTCTTGGGCAGAGCATACTGTCCACATGACAAAGACATAAATCCTTCCAATTTTCTGAATATTTCTATCCAAGAAAATTGAATTCATTTGGCATCAAGTAAACAGAGGTCATATCTATAGAAGTGTGAAATTACAGCTTTACAACAGACCTCTAAGAATGCACGGAGTCTGTTTTCCCTGTTCCCTGCTGGGCCTCAGAACCTCAGCGTGGTCCCTCCTGGTTTCAGCAGCTCATTACTTCCCAACGCTGCCCACACCACATGTGACAGCTGGGTTAGTGCTACCACCCATAAACATTCAGGCGCTTATTGTCTTTCTGATGTCAGCTTTCAGTCATAATTGTTTGAGAGAAATTGGAAGAGAATAAAGTAGGCCATGTTGGATGCTCAGGCAGGCATTTTTAAAATTGAAAATCAAAAGGATAAAAATCACATATCAAGGGAACAAACCAAGGACACAAATATGTATTCACTGAAGACTTGTGTTTAATAAGCATCTACTATTTTGCTCAGTACTGTGCCAACAATTGAAGGAAGACCAATGTGAACAATAGCATTAGCAACCCCAGTGAACTCAAAGTATAATCTCACTGGGATTAAGTATATGAAACAAGTTCAAAATTAATATAGGACATAGCATGCAGTTAACTCTAAAGTTGGTCACAGAGCTCAGAGGGTGATGAGAAAAAGCAGATGATGTCCAGAGTCACCGTGAAGCACCTTCATGGACCATGCTTTGCAGGACAAACAAGAGATGCAAAATCACAGGCCGATTTCTTTGAGACTGACTCTAGATTTAGGGGGCAATTATACAACTGTTCCAAAATTCACAAAAGGAAATCAGAGATCCTCTCATTAGTTACAATAGTGAGCGGACTGGGAATAAAAACAGGATGCTGAAGTGTGGTCAGGTGCAAGTGGGAGCTGAGGCATCTGTAGAGAAACCCAGAGTCTGCCCTTCATGGTGGAATTTGTCCACCTGGGCGAATAATGTGCAATTTCCTTTGTCAAGGAGGAAATGCAGTGCTATTAGAGTCCTTTCTCCATTTCTTAGTCCCCTTATCAGCTTCCAGAGCAAAGGGAGAAAGCCTCATTCAACTCATTAGAGTTTAGACTGTGGCTCCTTCTCCACACATACAGATGTCCTTCTCCCCACCCCCATGACCAGAGAGCAGCTTCCAGAGAGTTACTTAACCATCTGATTAATTGCTGGAGCCCTGATGCAAATGACTCTCAGGATTAAGGTGATCGCTTTATCACTGATTCTGCTTGATAAACATTTACACCTTAATGTATCTGACAAAGCGATTTGTATTTGCCACTGCAGTGTAAATGAAGGTATATTAAAGCTACAATAATTCTATAATATTAATAGCTTTAAAATAATTTGCTAACTAGAGACAGTTCCCTAAGCAATTACAAGACATGTTGTGTTAATTTAGACAGGAATTCCAAACAAGGCATTTAAAACCTAATAAGATGCCATTAAATGAAATGGGATGGGGAGGAGGAAGGAAAAAGAAAAGCCTAAGGCTTGAACTAGCAGAAATGATTCTCAGAGCTACTGACCCTTGCAAGATCCATGTTTTCCTTGGGTTTGTAGGCACAAAGCAGTGTTCTAATTGAAGGTGATTATCTAGTTACTACATCCCAAATTGCATGTATTTCTTGTATCGACTCACATCCACACCTAATTATATGGAGCATTTATCAATCTGAAAGTCCCGAGAAATAGTCATCAATCTGCTAACTACACACAGTAAAGATGAGCTCTGTGAACTACGAGACATGACGACAGTCCACCTCCTGGTACTCACGGAGATCTATGAGCTGAATTATGAGGTTACTCAACTGGAAATAAATTGTACGAAGCGATCGCTTGCCAGGCTCCACACCCAGAAATGTACACGTTTTTAGAGCCACCATCATCGTGAGAACAGAGAAGAACAATATGTGGTCCTAAAAAGCAAAAGATAAATTCCTACACAGAAAATTATGTCTCCACATGCTTGACACAAGAGCTAGGTGCTCCCGCTGAAGGTGGGTGACTTGATTGAGGCAACAGGAGGTAGAGAAATGCAGACTTCTGCGAAGGCACAAATGGGCCTCAACAAAACACAACTCCTATTAGTTGGGTTAATTAAGATTAACACACAAGTCATTGAAAACCCCCAAAGTAGACAGAAAATAATTCACCAAGGAAAGACACAAAGACAAGAATAGCATTCACTCTGAGTCATTTCCTTCATTGATTAGAAGGAGGTTTCCCTTTTGATATTTGAGGGGTCATCACTGATTACTCCAACAGTTTGTATTCAAATAGTTTACAAAGGCCAAAGACAACTAGCTGATAAGGAGAAAAAATGAAAGTAGATCCAATCCAATATCATTGCTATAAAGCAGATTAAACACACAGGCAAATGTGAGTGTGTTTTAGGTTTTGTTTTACTGAGATGAATGAAACAGCACTCATCTTGAGAATCAGGATTTAGCATTTTTCATCAGCTTAGCAGAATGTTTTCACTTAAAATAATAACCTGTATTCTACATCAAGTACATTGCAAGGAAGCATTCCAAGGAAAAGATGAACACTGAATTATGGAGCAGAGGGAGGTGTACTTCAGGTGCTCAGGCTGCCATGGTGTGAATCTGTTGTTGCTGAGAAAGAATTCCCACTCTTACCTCAAGGTTTATGCTCACAGTACTAATGGCCACTTTTATTTCTCCATCTGACAGTTCCTTCAGATCTTTCAACATTGCTTGCTCAGTACTTAAACCTGTGAACGGGGGGAAAACTGTTATATATTGGAAACCTTTTTATAATATTGAGGTATGAGTTTAAGAAATCACTATATTAATTTTAATATTTTGTCCTTTGATATCACTTTATCCCTAATAAATACAAATACGCTAAGTACACAATAGCCACAGTTGCAACAATGTCTGCATCAGTCAAGATCCCAGACGGAAAGGGAATTCCCCTCATGAGCAGAAAAGGGCTCTTTCACGGCAGTGCCCTCACAGAGATGTCTGCAGACTAAACAGAGCAAATGAGGGATGGTGATTTATCTGGAGAGGAGCGAGGGGATGAAGAAAGCAGAGAGCTGAGGTTAGGGAGGAGGGGCCACTAGAACTTGTCACCAACACAGGAAGGGAGCAGGGGAGAGATGCACAGTGTGCTCCCTTCCTGTCCTCTACCCATCTTTCCACGGGCTGCTAAGTCCCTCCAGCTGGAATCAAGTGTTATGGGAGCCCAGAATGTGAAATACTCAGGGTTCTACCTCTGCAGACCCACTTTAGGGAATGGAGGAAAGGAGTAGGTAGAGGGTGATAAAATGAAGCAAGTATAGCCCTGCAGACTAGCCCAAAATTTGCTTTTAGGATATATTTAGGTGGGCTTCTATAATTTTATAATTTAAAGCATAATCTTATTCAAAACATAAATGTGGCCCAAAAAACTATCATGGTTGAATGAGTAACCCTTCTTATTTCCTTAATTGGTGGGAGGAAAATCTGAATGATCTAACACCACATCAGCATAGTTGAACACAGAACTTCATGAAATATATTGCAGCAAATCAGGCAAATGTCTGGCTCAACATTGAATTATCATACTACATTATTACATGTGACTAGGTCTCCTGTCTTGGGAGAACAGCCATAACAAAGCCTACTAAAGTGCATGCAATCTTCCAGGGGCTTGCTAAGACATCAAAGTTGCCTGCCTAATCCACTAATTTAGAGCACTGTCAACCACAGCAGCATGCAGAAACAGATAGGTGCTAAGCATTTTTCTTTGCTAGATGATCAAAGACCACTTGGTTTCCTACTGCAACATAAGTGATTTATATGGTGTATTGAGACATTAAGCATTTGGTATGGGTTTAAAAATGAATGGCAAAATGCATGCCACTGCGCAGCAGTGCGTCTACATCCAGCCACACTGCACAGGCCATGGGAGGTGTGGCAGGCACTGTCCACACCCCACTCACTTTCCCCAGATTTCTCTTTCTCAGGGCTCAAGCGTCATCAGCACCTGGATCTTTTCTTGAAAGCTTTCTTTGGCTACAAGAGCCTACTTTGGAGAATCAACACCCCCAGGGCCTAGGGAGCCCTCACTACCCCAAAGGTCTACTGGTAAATGTTCAACAACCAGTAATAAAACCATCTTGTAGTGTTTGTTCTCTTTAGAGTGGCATACTTCTACCATGGCTGACCTCAAGTTACCAATCTAATACTATCCAACTCACAAATTTCCTGAAAACATCAATGATTCTTGGGGTCAGAGGGACCACATCCTTGAACACTACTGCACCCTTCATGTGGGATCACCTGGAGTGCAATTTTACACTCTCCCTGGGCTCGGGCTCCTGAGTGGGATTCAGCTCTGGTTTCCCACTAAGCTATCTCGCTTAACAAAGCACTCTGTTCACATCCATTCTGTCTGTGGTCACCTCCCAGCAGACTACTTTGTTCCTGGGGAATCTTAGAGCAAGGGAGGAAGTCATGACACTTAATGTTTTCACCTTAAAGACAGATTGTTTGGGTTGAGATTCTGGCCTCACCGCTTGCCAGTTGTGTATCTTTGTTGTCGGGAAAACAAAAAGCCCGGTGTTCTCATCTGGAAAATGACTATCATAAGGAACCTGACTCAGGGTATGGAGGACCCAGGAAGGTCATCCTTGAAAAAACAGTACCACTAGAGCCTGTGTAAATTAGACATTTGGTGAACCACAGTTATGTGTTCCTATGAAACAGTGGACCCAGGAAATTCATTGTTCTGGTAAAGCCTAGCCTTCAGAAATGATTTCATCAGCTCAGCCACCTTCTGTATCATTTTTTTCTAGGATTAGTTGATTTAGAAAAATCCCATTGTGCTTGACATTGTTGCTGCCACATGCTCAAAATAGAACTATGCCAACACAGGAAGTGCAGGTAAGGATGTATCTGGGGTGTATATTAGGTGTAGGGATTATCCACATGAAGACTTTAGGGCCTCGAAGACAGCATGGAACAAGTAGCCAATACCATGAGCCTGAAAAATCTGCCACAGGTAATTTTGTGCAAGAAAGTGAAAGGACACTTGCATTCCCCTCTTGGGCCTGGCAGGACCACGCAAGCCATCCCTACTCAGGAGCAGCTAGCACGCTGCGGAGGGCACTCACCGTGAGCGCTGGAGTGGGTCTCCTGGAGCACACTGATGATGTCTTCTCTTGGAGGCAAGTTAGGAAACTTCTCCTCCAGGACAGACAGAATCTCCTCCTGCTTCTCTGAGAGCTTCTCTGAGAGCTTCTCTGGATCCATAGCCATCCACTTGAAGAGGATACTGCCTGAAAGGCAGGGAGAAAAATGTCCCTGAACATTCCAGCCATTCAAGGTACAGTTCTGGAAAACCAATGTTCTCGTGGTGATGGTATCAATCTCACCACTATAGCTGACCTTAGCAGAGCTCATGGATAAGGAATGATGGATTGCTTGCTCATATCTTATGTCAACACACAATTGGGAGATGTGTAGGTTTTTAATGAACTCAAAACAAAAATGAGTATAAACTATGTAGATGTGTGGACATCAAGATGCCTGTTAAGAGATTACAGAGATTGTTTTCTCCACTCATTGTATTACTGACTTTAAATACACATGTCCTCATTTTCACAACTAAATGACTATATAATTCTATCACCAATAGCTAACTAATCTGGCAAACTGATTTGCCAGATTAATTCTATCACCAATAGCTAACTAATCTGGCAAACTGGTTTGCCTGAGGCCCATTTGTGAATTGCAAGGACCATACACAGTTTCGAAAGAATTTACTAGTACCTAAAAATGAGGATTCACAAACTGGGTCTGAAGCACAGGTCTAGACTGCAAAGTAATTTGTCAATATGGTTTTAGAGAGGACATGTTGAAAAATTAAGTTCGATAGGTAAATAGAGGGCAGATCATGGAGGACCTCACAAACCCTGAGCTTCAAGTAGAAGTTACATGCTCAAATTTATGTTTTGTAAGACCTACTCTGAAAACCATGTAAACAACAAACTAGAAAAGGAATATTGTGTCAGGTGTGGTGGCACATGTCTATAATCTCAGCACTTGGGAGGCTGAGGCAGGAGGATCACCATGAGTTCAAGATCAGGATGGGCAACACAATGAGTTCAAGGACAGCCTGAATGGCATCATGAGACCCTGTCTCAAACAAACAAACAAACAAAAAAATAAAACAAACAAAGAAAGAAATATTGGAAGAATCATTATTTTTTCCAGAATCTATTTTTCCAGTAAGAACTGAGAAAAGAACAGCTTCACATGCAAAGAAATGTGTACTCAGTTCAAATGATCATTTAAAGGTGCAGGATAGCCACCTGACTTTGGGTATATACCATATAGTCTAATAATTTAAGATATTAAATCCTAAATGTAAAGATGACTTTAGCACTTTTTGTTAAAGTAAAGGTTAATTTGAACTTCAAATAGATAAAGGTTAATTTGAACTTCATCTCCCTCTGTATTGGGTAGAATACTTGTACAGGAAAAAGGACAAAGATTATATGTAACAGTAACAGCAACAGGGGCTAAAGATGTCACTGGTAGAGTACTAGCCTAGCATGTACTGGGTTCAATTCCTAATACTCCTTAAAGCAAATAGGCAGAAAAAAATCCACAACAGGAACAATAAATATGCAAGAGCATCAGGGAGTTCCTCAGATGAGCCTCTTAGAAGCTAAGATTCTGGAGAGAGGATGAATGCAGAGAAGCAAACACAACATTTGGTGGTGCCTTTCTCCTCAAGGCATTGGTAATTCATAAGTTGCAAGCCAACAGACTGAGAAAGGTAATAGAGCTAACAATAATTTCACAGGATTTAGGCAAATAAATCTGCCATTGAGGCCCTCTGCATAGAAGTAATCATAGTTAAATATATTTTGAGATGGCACACTTGAAGAGATACATCTTAGGGTAGGAGTTAGAAAGCTATGGGCTGGAGGTTAAATCTAGCTAGTGATTTTTTTTTTTATAGACAAAGTGTTATAAGAACACAGTCACACCAACTAATTTACATACTGTTTCTGAATGTTTCAATGCTGTAATCATAGAGCTGAGCAGTCACCACAGGGGCTGCAGGCCCACGGGCCTGATGAGTTTCTATCTCATCCTCCTCAGCTTGCTGACTCCTCCTGTCTATGGAGAGGAGGGAAACGGAAGGAAGCCAACCTGCATTAAGATTGAAATCCTCCTTTGAATAACCTTAAATGACAGATTAAATTTATCTGTCATTTTTTCTACCTCCTTTGAAGAGCAAAACTAAGTCCTTTGTAAAGCAAAAGAATTTCATTATACATAGCCTCATACTCTCTACATTTTCTTAATGTTTAGAACTATTGAGTATAGAGAGAAAAAAATCACTCTAGTAACCAAATTACTAGAAAGCCCAGAAGAAAAACTCCTGAAGTAAAGAACCAGAGAGGTGCCAAAAAAAAAATTAGTAGGAGAATTGCAGTAGAGAATTAGAATCTATAAATAAAGTAATTAAATGAAATTTTAAAACTAAACTTAATCGCTGAATTTAAGAACATAAAAATATGTTTATAGCTGGTTAGATACACAGATGAAAAGACGTGTGCACTGGAAAATATATCAGAGAAATATCTGTACAGAAGTAAAGAGCAAAAAGATGAAAAATGCAGAGATGAGTATAAACAATGTAAGGACACAGTGACAGGTTTAATGTATATTAGTAGGGCCATACCCTTTACATTCTTTACTGGGAAGTAGAGAAAATGGGTCTGAAATTGAAAAGGCAGTGGGTACAATGATTTCCCAAAAATGATAAAGGATGTTATTTAACTATCAAGAAATCAATAAACTATAACCAGTATAGATACAAGAAGTACATCAGTAGGTACATGACAGTAAAAGAGTTAAAAAAAACCACAGAAAAAATTAAATCAGTCAGAGAAGAGAGGCAGTGCAGCCAAAGTAGTACAATAGAAGTACAACTGACTCAAAGTGATGAAAATCCAAGGACAGTGGCATTGCACCTTCAGAATGCTGACATAAAGTAGTTGCCATTCTAAGAATTCTGTACTGAATGAAACAAATGAAAAAGGGAAGGCTAAATGAAGACATTTTCAGAAAAAAGCTGGAAGAAAATATACGCTAAGAAACTTAAAGGCCAAAGACACTTATTCCAAATGGAAGCAAGAAAAGAAGCAAGTAGAACAGAACATTGGCCACCATAAATATGTAGGCAAAAATAAATCAACAATTATATAAAACAATTATGTTATATTATATAAATATATAAATATATAAATATATAGATATAGATATATAATTGAATTATATTTCAATAGTAAAACACTGCAGAAGCAAATTAGCAGAACTAAAGTGTTCTAAGGTTCTTAGATTGTCAGGATACCTTAGTCACTGACTTTGTAACCCGGGCTGGCCTCTAACTCACAGCTGTCCTTCTGCCTCAGCCTTGCTAGTGCTGGAATGACCGGTATGCACCACCACATCTGGCTTTTAGTAGCTTTTTTGTAGTTACTTTCTTACCACTGGGGCAAAATACCCAACACCACAACTTGAAGGAGGAAAGACTTGTCTCACCTTGTGCTTTCAGTCCCTGCTCAGCTGGCTGGATCTAAACAGAAAGGAGCTGGCAGAAGAAAGCTGCTCCTATCATAGTGGAAGAGAAAAGTCAAGGAGAAAGATATACCTTTCAAGCCACACCCCTAGTAACCTGTCTCTTCCAGCCAGGCTCCACCTCCTAAGAGCAACTCAGTTACAGAGACCTCATGATCCAACCACTTTCTACACACCTAAGAATTTGATGGTATATTTTGATCTAAACCATAATATTCCACCTCTGTACCCCAACAGACTTATGCCCATCTCTTTATGCAAAATACATTTAGTCCATCTGTAAGAATCACCATGTTTGTAATAGTTTAGAATTACTGAAAGGTTCAAATCCAAAGTCTCTTCTAAAACTCAGAGCAAACTCTTAGCCAGTAAAAATAAAAAATAAACTTAAAACCCTAAAAATACTAAATAAATAAAAATAAATAAAAAATAAATTTAAATATGTCCTACATAGAGAAAAAAAGAAATAGGGATAGAAAAATAATTAGATCAAAGCAAGACCCAAACCCATCAGGTCAAACATTAAATTCCATAGCTCCAGGTCCAGCACTTTTGACAATTGTGGCATGATATAAGCTCCATAGGGCTTTAGTGGTCTTGTCCATATGATATTGCCACTTACAGCCCTCATGGCTTCTCTCTTGGGGCAGAACAATTCACTAACTGCAGTTTTCCTTAACAGACTTTCTGCATATCTGGCTTCTTCAACTTCCTGTAGTCTCCACTGCACTT